TTGTGCACATACACCATGTATAAGCATGTCAGAAATTAAGTACAGTTTATTTGTATACCACTTCTCAAGAACAAAATTCACAAAGTGCTTTGCAATAGAGAATAAGATCTAAAATACTCTGAGCATATAAAGTAAACAAATAAGATGTTTGGCAAACATGTCGTTCTTTACAGCTTCCTGTTTCAGTGAAGTGTATTGTTGTCAAGAACTGAAGGTACCCCAGATTTGAAAAGTCTTTCCAAGTCCACACATGTGGTATCATGGATGCACCATTAATTTTAATTCATGTCAGTTTACACATGAAATACTAAAATGTCAGTTTACCATCACCTCTAGAGGACAAAATGTGGGTTGACTAGAAGGAATGAAGAGTTGGCTTCAGACAGTGAACCACAGAAGCAGAGCTGAACAGCCGAAAGCATGGAAACACTTTCAAACAGCCCATCATGCACTGAACTGAATCCAAAGTTAAACTGGTTAAAACAAGCGAAAGCCAGGAACAACATACAACTATTTTGCTTGCAAAGCCAACTGGAACAAAAGCTTACAAAACAGAAAAACCCTTGTTTGGAGGTTTTCTGCTTAACTTTTAGATGTTTCTGTATTAATCTCTGTATATTCACTCTTGCAGAAATGTGACCAAAGTCTTGGTTTGATACATACAGCAGCTCACTGCAGTGACTGTAACCTTTTGCAAGGACTACAAAAATTTCTCAAGCAAATCAGTAATAATACTTCCATAATCTCACCCTAAAGGTAGCCATAGATGTCTCTGAAATGTGACACCCTGCTTCAAGTGAAACAACTGGTACCAGCACTAATTGAAATTTTGCATGCAAAGTGACAATGCCCGGGCCCTCGGCAGCATGGATTAAGGCTTGAATAGAGACAGATTCTTTGTGAAAGCCTACTGTGCCGGTTGGCGTGCAGGCCAGCTCCCTGCATCTGCTCACTGGGTGGACTGAGAAAACACTGGATTGTATACGGTCGCTCATTTTACCTTTATCTAATCCCATTTCAGAACCCGCCTCCGTCAGTCTTTTGTTGCTCTTCCACAAGACATAATGCTTCCATGTTACACTCACACATCGATTCCTTACAAAACAATTCCGGTCAGAAACAGCCACTGAATTTACATATGAAAGCATTTTTTAACCAAACTTGGCAGGATTTTCTAAACATTAAGAGTCATACTCGGTCTCGAAGAGTCAGGTCATCCTATTTTGTGGAAGAAAAAAATGGTACTGATAGAAAATCCAAATTAATAAACAGAAAAGTACATTCTTGCATAATTATTTAAAATGGGAAACCATTTCAAACATCAACTTTGCCACTATTTGCCAACATTCAACTGAGTCTTCCAGTGTTCAATAGAGTACTGAAGGAATTCAGTGCATATTGAAATGCAATCAAATCTGTAAGACATTCTTTGAAGACTTCATGCTGTGATGTCATTTTGCCCCACGTCAGCATCCTCTACTGTGGTTTCTGTCCCTTTATGTGTTGTTTAAAGAAAAACAGGAGGAAAAAAAGTTATATCAGTGTGATCTATTCTCCCACTAACTTCACCAACACCACGCATACATGTCTAGATGGGGTTGTTATTGCATCACAGCAACACCAATCCTCCTAGAAAACATTTGCCATACCTGCACTGCACAAACTGTAATACCACAACAGAAAGGGCCAAACGGAAAAGCCAAATTATCTGTCTAGTAAATTTCATCTCCTACAAACAAAACAGGCGACTCGAATTTTATGGCTCAGTATGAATATGAGAATTTCCACTCAGCAGAATTAGATGAGCGCCATCGTTGTTAGTGTGGCTGTCAACTGAACACTGATGACAATGAATGGCCAAACTAATGAAGAGATAAATCCACACTGTTTTCATAGACATGTTTGGCATAGCTAGGCTAATTTCCTAGGCAGTAGTATGTCCATTAATTTCCGAAAAGAGCCCGTCTGTTCTTGTTAACTAAACCAATAAGACATGGCATCGGCTTACATTAACACAAATAAACAATTTAGAGTTGTTTCACATTCCACGCGGTGAATTAAATGCCTTTGAAAACTGGCTGATTGCAGCTGATGAATGAATGCCATTTGTAGTTGTCTAACATGGTGATACTAACTGAAGCCGGGGGAGTACATAGTCTAGCGAATAGAGATGAGACGCTGAGGGGGAAAAGACAGTACGATAGCTTTAACATCGTTTGCAGTATACTTTTCGCAAAATAATCACTTGGTACACATTTGGTTGCCTGGAGTTCGGCCCCAGTTTTAATCCTTTAATCCTTGCCAACGTGACCCTTGCCTGATTCTTTGATTCTCTGTACAACAAATAGTATTTTCATGTTTACGCATTCAAAATAATCTGTAGAAGACGCTATAATTTCATTCATCAATTTTTATTTTAAATATTTTTTTAAAAAACTAAAAAAAAAAAACAACTATAACAACGTGATTTAGCGATCAACACATATTGAAATTACACAGGACAGTGTAACATAGCAGACAATAAATAAACAACATGGACTATTGAGAAATAAATGCATTTGACATGTTTTTCCCCGTTTACTGAAAAAGAAAAAAAAAAGTGTCCCCGCACTTTACGTGTCAAAATGGTCCACTGGAGGGATTTCTTCTGTTGCATGCTGGGATGGGACTCTTTTTTTTTGGGGATTAGAGCCGCAGTGACCTCTTTTTCAACTCTTTATTTTACCTACGTAAACCATTCTTGCAACTTCATTGGACAGTCAGCTAGGGTGATTCAAGGGATAAAATGGAGGGTGGCGGTGAAGGGGGGGCTGCTTCGGCTTGTGATGCGACTAGCTGGTTTCCACATCAAAACTGAAGTACCACGGTCCCAAACGGTACTTGCAACATGCATGTTGTATTTACCGTAAGTCCTATCAAGAAATATTAACAGCATCATTCTTGGGGAAATCGCATAATTGCACAGCAATGGCTGTTTGAGGGACGTGCAAACTGCTGTTTGAGGCAATACACGCTGTCTACTTTCACATATTTTTCACATTAAATTTTACAAGTAGAGAAACAGTATCCATGGACATGTTTGTTTTTTATAGAAAATGAGAAGACAAGAGGAAGTGGAACACTCTGTAGTGTGAATTTGATGTTATTTTTGGCATTTGTCATATCCTGTGTTACCCCTCACTCATCGACAGAATAGAGCAGATAAAAATCAAACAATAAATAAGCATTATGAAAGCAATCGAGCACTCATAATAAGTCATTGAACAAAAGCAAACCTAAAATTACGTACGTAAATACAGTATTTAGTTTTACAGTAAATTGTTTTATTGAATATAGTCTACATAAAATAACTATCTGGTAAATTTATATATATATATTATAAATATATTATTAAAAATGAAATTGGGACATTAAGTTTTAATCTGCACAGTTTTAATATGAACATACCTAAGCGGTTTTATATTGTTCATAAGAGAAAAAAATACATATATAAATAAGTAAAAACAAAAATGCAATGTATGTATTGTATGAAATATGGGTTGCACATCATTTCCAGTATTTTTGTAATGCTGAGTGCACTGCAAGGTTGAAGAAACCTTAAATTGAAAAAAAAAAAATCTAATAAAAATTAAATTAAAGCTAACAAATGTTCAACCTGCCAATAGGAAATGTAATGTAAGCTGTTGAGATCTCTCTTTTTTAGGTCTTGGATATGTTAACTACATTGAAACCATAAACTGGAACAGTCAGTAGTAGTCTGCATAAATACGCATGACATCTGTCAAAGTCTGTGCCAGTCCTACAGTGAACCTGGCACGTCCTCCAAACTTTCTGCACATATCTGGCATCCTGTTACATATGCACAAGTGATGTGAATATTTTTCCCTGTTTTTCTTTTTCTTGTTGTTTCATCCTGCTCTAACATTCAGCTGACTTTCCAAATTGTTTCTTTTCGCCACCTGTAATTATGAGGTTTAGTTCAACTGACCAGAGGAGGAAGATGCATTTGTTCTCTGAGAGCATCCTCAAAATAGACTGAATAAATAACTGGGCTGACACTTTCCATTCTTCAGTGCTGAGTCTCCTAACCTGTCACAAAGCAACCTGAATCCATCAAATCAAAAACAACTGAACATTACAATTTAAATCAAGACTGGAATTCTTAAATTAAAAGGAAACATGGTTTTCTAATGTTTAGGTCTGCTTATTTTTATTTAAGTTTAAATAATCTAACATTAATACAGTCTTTCTCTGCTGCAGCACGTGTATATTATGCTGCATAATATGTGGGGAAACCTTACTTTGGAGCATTACTCACATACAACAGTAAACACATATTACGGGGATTATTTTCACCATTCAACCTGTCTCCTTATGCGCTGAGACAGATGACTCCTACCCTTTCCTGCTTAGCCAGGCTTTGCGTACACATGACTGCATAGTGACCAGGCAGAGCCCTTTTGTGAGTCTGACATCAGGATGTTCAATGCTTATGTTTGTAATTGTTTTCCGGCGGCCTAAAAAACAAACAAACAAACAATTTAAGCAGAAGTCCTTGTTTGTCGTTTGTTTTGTTTGTTACGCTTTTGTCACCAACTGTTGGACAACTAATAGTGACACACCTCCACGGACAAAAAGGATGCGCCTTACCTGAATGGGATCTCGTGTTTTATATTCTGCTGGAGCTACCTGTGCAACACAAAAGGCTGTATGTTTCCTCTCTTTATTAAGGCTATTAGCGCTTGATAACATCCGCAGCGCACCTGCGAGATGCGGGAACATATGTTTTTATGCCCCACGGCCATCCCTCTGCATGAACCGACTCTGTCTTTGCTAGAATTAAGTACTAGAAATGCAATACTACTAAAATTTACACATATGAAGGCAGGAGGATGGAAATTTAGTCCGAAAAATAAATCGTGAAATCACGCGCTTTGTTTCAAACTCGAAGCCGGTAAGATGATGCGGCTTTACGCGTTGGGATGAAAACACTAGCTTACCTTCAATAGCTATTACGGCCGGTAAGGTCCATAATATCCATAGAATATCCATTATTGGTTACTTAAAAGTCCCAGACATTCAAATAAAATATGTTCCGAAAGCCATTGACAGCAAAAGCAGAGAGGGGACAGGCAGTCCTTCTCCTCCAATAGAGCGATCCCAGATAGCAGAGACTACGAACTCAAATCTGAACCAAGTTTGGGCGAAACCAAACAACCGACAGACAGAGGGGAGTACTGAGCAACATAGAAACACGGCTCTGTCTTTCAGGAAAATATCAGTCCAGTAAGTGCTGTATACTCTAGAAACAGCAATGTAAATAATCAAGGTTAAAACATTCAAATTTGTAGTTTCGTCATTGTAAACGCTCATCAACACGTTTGTTCATCCCCGTCAAATCTACTTCAATTTACCCGGCTGTCAGTCATCCACAGAAGGACGGTCCACAGTACCTTACCTAGCGATAATTAAGTTTTTGTGGCGCATGTGGGGCATTTATAAAAGATGGAGCAACTTATTTTCACTGCCTCGCTGCTCGAAGTGGAAATAGTCGGTTTTGCTTTATCAGTCCAGGCTTGAATATGTATCTGGGGTACACTTCGAGGCTCTTATAGGGAAGTAAGAACAGCTTCACCGCAGCTTTTTGGCGCTGGAACAGGTGAAAAACAGGAGAGAAAAATGTGAAGTAAGTTCATTTATTAATATATTTTCTTTCCAAGACGTTTGATTGCGTTCAAATGTATACTTTTCCACAACCTTGTAGTTCAGGCGGTTTCAGCGAAAAGTATTCATAATGTTAATTCACCGTGTAAGCATTAGTAATATTTTAATTACAAGCAAATGCTCGCATTGAGTGCAATTATAGTTCGCCTTTTGTGTTTCCAGATTTAAGAAAAAAATGTTATTTATATTAATCAATGTAACGATGTAATACAAGTATATAATAATCCAAATTATGAGTAGTACCATTTGAGTAACAGTGTTTTAAAAACTTTATATTACTTTCCCTCCCTTTGTTAAGGAAAATATATGTGTGTGTGTGTGTGTGTGTGTTAATCACTTTCACACTATATGTAAAATTAATAATTTGATTTGAACATGCCATATGAACATACAGTAGTCTTTTAAAAACTTGCCAAAGAGTCAAATATGTATAATAAAATGTGACTCCAATCATTTAAAAATCAGATGATGTAAATCATCATAAAACGAAAATCAGCTGATGTGATGCTGGCTCAGTGTTTCACTACTTCAAAAATATGACACAATTAATCTTCCACAATTATTAACATTGAGCTGTGTTTGCACTAAATTGATTTAAGTTGGCACAACAGAATCTGGCAGCTCTGTTCCTGGCAATCATTGCCATCTATCAATAAAAATGCTATACATAAAATAAATACACGTATCAAAAATCATACTGCCTTCAACTTTCATGAATTTTCTGCTGTTTTAATGGGATTACGCTTTGCCAAGCAGGTCCGAGTTGCCAGTCATAGTTGGCACCAAGTCAAAATTTATTGAGCATCTTGTGAGATATAGTTACATTTTTTTAATTTCTTGAGAGTAGTATAAAACTTATTTCCTGTTCTAGGAGTTGGTAGTAAAATTCCAGTGTCTTTGTAGGTACTGTGTAAAAACTAAAACACAGACTGGTTTTATATGACACATTGACAGGCATGGGGACTGACAGCGATACATTAAAACAGCTGCAGAAATGACAGAAAAGTAAAAAAAATGATCGCTTTGCTTTAAAAGCAACATAACGATATACACTGAAATGCATTCAGAGAGAGAGAAAGCCAGGCAAAAAATGTATAATTTTAATTTGCTTTTTGTATAAAGAAAGTACCAAACATTGTAGGATAACAAAAGCGGGCTTGCAGATGTCCTCATGACATTTTCCAGTCCAAAGTAAACATGCATGAGGAGGATGTGTCCCAGATACTAAGTATGAAGTTACTAAAGCTGGCTGAGGAACAAGAATTTATAATAAATTGTTTGTCATCAAACATACCTTTTTTTATTACATTCCACAATCCTGCAGCTATGCAGCAGGACTCTCATGGGTTAAATGAGCCAGGCTGATTTATTTGCCTCCACTGAGCTCAACTATATTGATTCCAGGTCACTTGACTGGCTGACTTCAGATCATGTTCAGGTGACTACAAAACAGATGGAACACAACGGCAAGGCACCGAGAAAGCAGCTTTTCCTTACTATAATGAATTCCATACAAGCTCAATATTGACTTAAGCCAGGAAAGAAGTGAAAGATGTTGAAGGAATGATATTAATACTTCTCTAATATTACACAGAGATCTCTCTTCCATGCTATGTTATGATGACTACAATGTCTGTAATATATCGTAATGCAGAGCAGAGAGGTTTAACATTAACCAGAAATACTCTTATGGTTGTTTGCAACTTTGTTATCCACAAAAACGCAACATACGAGTGCTACAGCTAAAACAACACTGACCACAGCAGATGATATTAAATAAAAGCTACAGTATAACTCATATGCAACAAATTATGTACAACTATTCTCTTAACAATGCCTAAAAGGTGCACTGAGAAATTAATTTGAAGTTCCTTCAGCTTGCTAAGGTGCAGCCACTGAATACATATTATGTGCGGGCAATTTGTGTGTTTTTAACAATTAAATATTCATCAGAATGATATTTTGGCATTGCTTAACATTATATGTATGAATTAGAAACATATTTTTATTTATTAATATAAAAGGTTTCCTATAGAATTCACTGATTTAATTTAACACTAATATTTTACTTTATTCTATTCTATGTGATTGTGCTTTTTTGGCATTTGTTACCTATTTAATATCACCAAATAACTATTCCTTTCTTCATTTAATATTAAATATTTTATCAATACGGTTATAGAAATAGAAAGTCCAGGGTTAAATAATATTTAATATAGAGTGTAAAAAACTGTAATTTAAATATAGATTCCTGAGCATCCATGACATTAACAGTTGCATTTATATTTATAGTAAATAATTAACAGGACTTTAAGTAAAAAAGTTTAACTTTTTTATTTTATTTTAATTTTCTAATTTTACCTAAAACTAGGAGAATGTTTCACTTTCATTTGTAAATTTCATATATTTTTTCTTTTTTTGGCAATTTCTTATATTTATCAAAATGTACTGTGCTTTTTATGTGTTATTTTTAAAAATTAAATATACATACTGACTATGAACAATATATTCATATTTATTAATTCAATATAATTTTGTATATTGATGAAATGGAAATAATATTCATATGAGGGATCTCAGATTTAGAGACACAATATGCAGGCATTCATATTTTGTGTATACATTTATAAGGAAGGGATTAAAGGAATTAAAATGTTTTAAAGGTCATAATATAGAAAAAAGAATTTTATACAGAATAACAGAACAAAAGAATATATTACATTTTTGGCCAGCAGTAGTGGATGTCTTTTCCAATGATATGAAACGTCATTGCATCGACACTGCCACCTAGAGTTTAAAAGCTCACACCATTGACAAATGCCTTGTTATTGAATACACCGCATATGTATACCAAAAAAGTGTCTAAGGGTAGTAATGTGAGTTGAGTCTAGTTCAACCTTTTTTTCACACTTGCCTGAAAGTGCAGCTTCTATTGTAATTACAGTTATAAAATTTTGCTATTGTGATAATTAGACTCATAAATTTAAAAAAAAAAGTGGTCTTAAAACAAGATTTTTTTAAATCAGAAATTCAAACCTCACTTGCATGATTAATTACACTAAATATCCAAACAACCTCTGTAATAAAAAGAAAGATTTGTTTGTTATTTGTGTTTTAAGTTAAATTTGTTCAGTTTTAAATCACAATGTTTTCAGTCAAATTTCAATTATTGTCATTGACTTTGTTTTGTTGACATATGATAATAATAATCTAATTTTACTGTATATTTTTACCAAAGAAACATTTTTAGCTTAAAATTCATTTGACCTCAGCCTATCACAGAACCCGTTAATGTTTAAAGACATGCTATTTTTCATTGGTGAAAATGAAATAAACTTCATGGGGGTGAGAATGAGTTTCTGCAATTCATAAGCTGTTTTTATCCTTTGGAATATTTAGCTTGCGCTTAGGTTCATTCAAAACAGCCACACTGCACTGGAATCGATTTCACCTGGAGCCTTAAAGGGCTTACAGGGAAGTACTGCACCCAGTCAGCGTTAGCAGCTGGATATGGACCGAGGAAATAAAATGCTCTCCATAAAAGTTGTTGTGTGATCCCTGACCCTGTGCCGAGAAAAAGCTGCGAACTCCTCTAATCTCGGGAGACCTTTTGCATGTGGATTAACCTTAGTTAAGACAAGGGCAGTCAGTGTAGAGTTGGCTGGAATGAACTCTGACAAGCAGAGAAACCAAAATTAATGTGGATCGTTCAGGATTTTAAATGTTTTTATTTTTTAAATTGTCAGAGCGGTGAAGACAATTTTTTTTTTTTTTTTTAAAAAAAAGAATAAATAACACAGTCACAGAGGATCTAAATATATCGTAGTTGTTTTGAAAAGAAAGTATTTGTTTAGTGGAGTCAAAAAAAAGATAGTCTTATTGCTTATCTTTCCTCCCCGCCACTCCTACCACCCGCCACCACCTTCCCAGCGTATTGGTTTACCCCTGCCAAAAATTTAATTCAATCCGGCTAAGTTGCTTCAGCTTTAATTAAATAGACCAAAAGCCTTGGCAGGGTTTAATTTACTTTCTCGTTAAGTGAACTTTACAGAAACTGTATAACTTTCACTAGTATACTGCCGGGACCTGATAGAAGCTTTTTCTTTATTATTATTAAACTTTTTAAAATCAAATCACACCATTTCCAACAACTGAGTTGAGTTTTGAGGTGAAGTGAAGGCTGAAGTCTGGTTTATGTTGGTCCACTGGCTTACAGTCAGATGGAAATGTGCTTGAATGGTGTACGCCTGTCAGAGGGCAGACAACACTTTTTATCATCATAATAAATCTTAGATCTATTGCTGTAAAGCAGAGACCCAGTAAAAAGTGATTCAGCTGACAGTCACGATGAAATGAATGCCTTGATAAAATGGCAGTCATCAATCATGACTTTGGTTTTGGATGCTAACGTCCCCTCTAAGCTCTC